GAGCTCTGGTGGCATAGTGCTTAAGGCATTTGACTGCTAACCAGAAGGCTGGGGGTTCAAACCCACCAGCCACTCCTTGGAAGGAGGTTGGGCAATCTACTTCCATAGTGATACTGTCTCAGAAACCCAGGGAGAGTTTATCGTGAGTCATAACTGAATCGGCGGCAGTGTGTTTAGGTTGTTTTTTTTTTTTCCCCCTGGATTTCTGTTGTTTTTATTTTATTTGTAATTTTTTGTTTATTTTGTCAGCTTGTTCTTATATTGTTTTCTTAAATTGTTCTAAAATTTTGTTTGTATTTTCCTTAATTTTATCAGTGTTTTCCTTGATCTGTCTCTCAATCTATTGAAGGTACTCAAATATAATTCTTCTGAATTCCTTATCAAGGAGTTCAAATGCTGCTTCTTCCTCAAGAGATCTGAGTTTGTATCCTGAGCCCTTGTTTCTACTACTTTATCTTGGTGATTTCTGGTATTTAATCCACTTCTTTACCTTTGTGTGGACTGTGATGGTTGGATTTCTCCAAGACATTGTAGTGGTGTTGTATTTATATTTAATGTCTGAAAGAAAATGAGGTTGTGTTCACAGATCTCTGTTAGCTGTTCATAAGGAGCAGTTGCGGGTGAGGTGAGCTAGTATTGGCTGCTGTCTGTCATTGGTTACTTAGTGCAAAAGCAAGTGGTACCCCTCACTCAGTGGGTGGGGCTGTAAGAGATGTAGTTATGGTTGGGTTATGTTGGAACAGTTGCTGTATTCCACTTGTTAGACAAGAGAATAAAATAAAATAACATAAACCACCAAAAAGATAAAACTGAGAACAAAAACTTAAACTGTATAAGTAAAAGGTAGCAATTGCAAAAATCAAAATATCTTTTAAAAGTATATTAAAGAAAGATAGTGAGAAAAAGACAAAAGAAAAAGCCACAATATCTTGGGAAGGAAGAGTGAAAGAAAAGAGCAAAGATGAAAGAATAGTAAAGAAAAAATGGGAAAATTGCATAAGGAAAAGCAAGGAATGGGAAGAACCAAAAGAAAGAAAAAAGGGGAACTAGTGAAAGAAAAAAGGAGGAAGATAAAAACACTAATTTAAAAACAGGCAATCAAAAACAGAACTGTGAGGGGCAGGGCACGGCACCCAGGCTCTGTCGGGGCACAGACTGGGGTGGAATTCTTGCTGGTCAAGATCATGTGTGGAGGCGGAGGATAGCCACACCTCTATTCACCAAGAATGTAGGATATAAAAGTATTAAGGGAGATATCACACCTTTCCAGTCATCAGCCTCCAGGGAGGCCACCCATGCTATCTTCATACTGCATTGCCTGTCTAGGTAAGAACACCACTTGCAAATATTCAAAATGGTTGTCCCTTCAGGACACCCTCGAGCAGTCCACAGGTCTGTTTTTCTCCTTCTCCCCATTTGCCTTTCTGGTTGTCAGGCATCAATACAGTCTTTGCCCATGCAATCCTTAGTGAGCAGAGATGATTCTTAGATTGCAACTGGGAAATATTAAAAAATGATTCTACCCTCGGGATAGCCAGCAGTCCACAGCTCCATTTGTCTCCTTACTCACAGTTTTCATTCAAGTTCTTATACTACTTGGTATTTAATCTATTTCTTTATCTTTGCCTTCATAACTCAGGGTTCCATGATCATCTTTTGTATCTGTTTCAGTTGGTTTCCCACTGCTTTGTTGCACAGGGTCTGTGTAGCTTGTGTGCCTATTCTGCCATCTTGCTGGAATGCCCTCTTACTGTGCAGTGTTTTCATGTACGTTAATAGATATCCTCTGAGGCAGGAGGTGCAGATGTGAATAATGAGACTTCATAATGTTTACCTAACCTTATTGCAAAAAGGGCAAGGAGGCCACATATTCTGACCTCCTCTAATCCCACAAGAGGAAGACAGAATCACCATCAATAGCCCAAGGCCTATGCCTGCAAGGCCAGACATGCTGCCTCCCTCCAGCCCTTTCTCCAACCCTTCCTCCCAAAGCACCCACCACCTCTCTCCTGGGTTTGATAATTCACTGCAGTGGCCACGCAGAACTCACAGATTACAGGGTTTATTAGGGAAGCACCAGGCTACAATTCAATTTCAGGAAAAATGCTCAGTCTCTCTCCCCAGCCCGCCATCTCTGTCTCTCCCCCAGCAGTGCATGTCCCTCCATGTCTTACTCAGCAGTGTATGTCTCTTGCATCTCTTTCCCAGCAGTATGTGTCTCTTTCAGGGGCCGTTGTCTCTTTTGGCAGCACATCTTCCTCAACGAGCAGTCAGAGAGAGTTCTGCCTCTAGGAGGCCTCCTTTTGAGCTTGGCAGAGTGGCCAAACTAGCCAATCATAGCATCAGAACTCTAAGCACCTGAGAGAGAGCCTCCCATAACATTGCATTGTGCCACACCCAACAGAAATAACCCAGGTGGATAACATTTATAACGTTATCAGGAGCTCCTCGGTTGCTCATTCCACCACTGAGTTTACAATGACCTATGGGTAGAAGAGCCATACTAAGTAATTTACTACACTGCATTTATTTAACTTGTTTATGAGTACACAGTTCTTAATGATAGGGCAGAAATAGAGCTCTGGTGGTATAGTGCCTAAGACTTGACTGCTAACGAGAAGGCTGGCGATTCAAACCCACCAGCCATTCTTCAGAAGAAAGATTGGGAGATCTTTTTCCATAGTGATACTGCCTCAGAAACCCAAGGAGGGTTCACTATGAGTCGTATCTGACTCAATGGCAGTGGGTTTGGTTTTTAGTCTTAAGTCACACATCCTCAAAGGTTATAATTAGAATCTCTGGTCAGACTTCATTAATAACTATTTTGAAACTAGTGTGTATGTGTAAAACTGTTAATAATTCTGAACATTTTCACCAGTAAGGAATGTAAATATAAAATGATATATTTAAATAGATGCTACCTTACTAAATTTTAGAATTTTAAGATAAGAGTTATACGATGATCATCTTAATCTACTTGAGAATGAAATTTCAATGGCAAGTATCTTCTTTTTATTACCTTTAATCTTTGAGAATATATCAATATCAACCTAGCATATAGTAGTTGCTCATTAAATAACTGGCATTTAGTGACTGAGGGTGAAGAAACAATAAGAAATTATGTGAGAGTCATTTATTTAACTTATTGTAATTTCTTTTTGAGTGAGAAATATCTACAATGTTCAGTTTATTTTAAATTTTAAACAACCAGAAATTTTGTAAAATGTTGGATAATAAACGTATTATAAGAAATAAATGTTTTAGGTGCCGTCTAGTCACCTCTGACTCATAGCGACCCTATGTACAACAGAACAAAACACTGCCTAGTCCTGTGAAAGTTTTCCAGTAATATATCAGAAAATGTTTCACTGTTATTCATAAGGTTTTCACTGGCCAGTTCTTTGAGAATGGGGTGGTCCCTTCCTTCTTCGGAGTCTTTCTTAGTCTGGAACCTCTGCTGAAACCTATCCACCGTGGGTAACCCTGCTGATATTTGAAATACCAGTTGCGTAGCATCCAACCTCACAGCAACATGCAAGCCACCACAGTACGACAAACTGACAAGTGGTGGTGTTGGTGGTGTTAGGTGCCATCAAGTCAGCATCTAACTTATGAAAGTTAAGAAAGTTGCCACCTAATTTATGAAATAAATTGAATAAGCCATCACAATAACTTAAGGGATACGGAAAAGAAAGGTAAAAAGGGAGGAAAAGAGTGGCAAATCTCAAGGACAGAGGAGATGTAGAACCTTAATAAGGATGACCCAAATCATCAGAAGGCACAACACAAAATATTGGAAGCTCAGTCTTAGTGGTTGCCAAAGACTGGGGAGAATATTTATTAATGTCGCTTAAAATCAAATAAACATTAAAATGTAAAAATCATAAATACATCTGAATTTGATATAAAATGTTAGTTAATTCATACCTGTCCAGTTATGGAAGTGGAGGAACTTAACTGAAGAAGGAACATGCTCTTAAGTTTTAACAGAGAAAAAAATATTTGAAATGATGAGGAATATGGCTTTCCATTTTATAGTGAATGAAACTTCATGGACGGACATCTACAGTGTGGCATTTCAGAATGTCAAAGCTAAAAACAGAGCTTCTACATTTTTTTGCCTCTGATGTTGATATAAAGTTAATTCATCTCAAAGGCCAAGTGAAATTAAATTACAGGGTAGAGGGCATGTAATGTGCACTTCCTGTGTTTGCTACGTTTAATGTAGCTTTTGACAGTGGTGAGGATATTTGTTGTAAACTAACTAATTTCAGAGGTTTTTTGGCTAAATTGTATTTTCAGGTACTAATTCCAATATTATCATGACAATTTTCTTTGCTTTCACTTCTTTCATGAGCTATTTGTATGATGAAAAACTATTGAGTCATTAGCTAATGACACCATTTATTGTTATTCAATCTTAAAGTTACTCTATAAATATGCTCTTAAACAGAATGATTTCATTTACATCTCTGTAGGGCAGCTTTACTAAGGAAAAGCATTGCATATATTCGAAATATGCACTACTTACACTGTTGCTTTTATCCCTATAAGTTTTAGTAACATTGTCATCAAATCACTTATTTTCTAGTGCAAGCTACCCACAGTAGAAGAATGTATGCAGTTAGCTGAGGCAGCCCATGCAGATGGAAATATATTTGAAACTATAAAGTATTATTTGTTAAGTCAAGAACCTGAAAAAGCTCTTCCTGTTGGTATTTGCTTTATTAAAGGTGAGTTTCTAGTTGGTAATATAGTTTAAAATATTTATTTATTTGATACTTTCACTCATATGATAATGAACCTTAAAATCAAGTAAGCACTGCCTATGCTAAACTAAAACAAGATACAGATTGCTGATGTGATATGTGATATCCCTTCTGATTATATGGTTATGGGACCCTGAAGGGGGTTAATAGGTGCATACTATGATCTAGGAAATATAGAGTAGATTAAATTGGTCACTGTGTTGGATTGGGTTCTCTAGAGAAACACAAAAAACAGCAAAGTGTATATATATATTTATAGAGAGAGAAAGAGAGAGAGAGAGAGATTTATCTTAGGTAAATGGCTCACAAGCGTGTAGAAGCCGACAAGTACAAGATGAAAAGTTCGTCTCTGGAGGGGGATGGGGCCCAGAGCCACCTGGCTTTCGCACGCACAGCAGAGGAGTTCAAGCCACAAAGTTCGTCTCTGGAGGAGATGAGGCCCAGAGCCGCCTGGTTCCTGTAAGCACAACAGAGCCGAGAGAGTCAAGCTGGCACGCAGCACGCTGGTTGCTGTTCCCAACAAAGGATGAATCCGAAACCTCCAGGGCGAGCGGCGAGCCGCTCACTCAAGGAAGTATATAGTCCGGAATGCCATTCTTCCAGCTTGTCCTTGGAATAGCATTGCAGGTAGGCCACACCCCTGGGGAAACTCCCCTTGGGCAGACCAGCCGCTCAGAACTCAGTCATCTGATCCCATCATGGGAACTACCCCTCACAACTGGAGTCCAGCCAAGTTGACACATCTTCAACTATCACAGTCACCAAGGAATTACTTGCATAGGTTAAAATTAGATGAACAAGATTTGATATTGTTATTGTTATTATCATTATCATTATTATTTAGAGTAACCTTTTATTTGGTTTTATTTTATCAGAATGCATCAGCAGTTCAGACTGGACTTTGGATACCGTTTACCCTGTTCTTGACCTATTGAGTTATATTCGTACTGAAAAATTAGTCTTGCATACATGTACTGTGTGAGTACTTTTTCTCCAAAATATTTAAATGAACTTATGTGTTGTTTTTAAAAAGGCTCTATTGTTTTTGATGTTCAGATTAAGAAATGGAATTGTATTCTATAGGTAGCTGCACTTGTAGAAAAATCACATTTGTATTTGTTATGTTCTTAATTAAAAATATGGAGTTCAATTTGAAAGAGAAATACTAAAGCTTAGTGGTCCAATTAGAAATATTTAGTTCACTGTCTATAAATGTATGTGTACATACACATATATATGCACATACACACTGGTTCAAAACTTTTTGATGATTTTAGACCTCAAGTCTCCAAAAAACTAGACCTCAAGTCTCCAAAAAACTAGTCATATTTCTAAATAATCTTTGTGTGCAAAGCATCATACTTGTCTTGGAGGGAAAGATGAGAGTGCTAGGAAGTAAAAAATAGAAAACAGACACCATCCATGAATTCAAGTAACATTTTAAGGACACTATTATCCATATGCTTAAAGCCACCGAAGAGTTATGTATGATTTGCTAAAGAGGATTTAGGCTATTTTTATATGAATTGCTCTTGTGTAATTGATTATACAGCAATCTGGGAAATTTGGGCAAACTTCCCCCCATTGGAAATGCAGTGGGTATTTTTGCCTTTTCTTGTAGTCTACACAATGTACCAGGAATTTCTAAAGCTAAGAGAATTACTTAGGGAGAAATTGCATGAAGAAATCCAAAGAAAAGAGGAAAAACAAGCAGGAAAGAGTTAAATATTATTTATTGAATTTAAGTAAAATTACAATTTATGATATAGCATAAATGGCTAAATAGGAATTATTAACTGGTAAATAAAATATTTCTAAAATTCTGAAAATTTTCTAAACATTTTGCTATAAATGTCACCCATCAAAATAGAGAGGTACAAATGCATGAAGTATATATAACAGTAATATTCTATGCCTCAGATTATGGATTTAAAGAAAATAAATACATTCTCTTTTAGAGCTCGAAATGAGTTGCTCATCTTATGTGGTTATATTGGTGCCTTGTTGGCTATCAGAAGACAGTACCAAAGCATTGTTCCAGCACTTTATGAATATACAAGGTAAAAACATTAATTTCTCTTGCTGTCATGAAATTAAGGAGCTCTGGTGGCTCAGTGCCTAAGGCATTTGGTAACCATAACATTCGTGATTCAAACCCACCAGCCACTCCATATAAGGAAGATGAGGTTCTCTACTTTCATAAAGATTTACTGCCTTGGAAACCCAATGGGTTTCGCAATGAGTTGGAATTGACTTGATGGCAGTGTGTTTGGTTTTGGTTATCATGAAATTAGAGGAATTCCTTTCACTATGATGGATAATCTCTAAGATCAAAAAAGGCATCAAACACAAATACATGCATTCCTTTATTCACTTAGCATGTTCTTTATGATATAAGCAATTAATTATATGAATTAAGAATGCATTAGACTATAAATAATAAGAATCCTAAAATTAGTTTGAGCACATAAGTTTATTGCTTTTGCATGTCAACACACTTGACATAGGCATTCCACCTTACAGCTGTGCCTTGATTCCATCAACGACCTAGATTTTTCCTTTCTTTTAACTCTGTCATTCTTGCTTCTCTCCTGTTGCTTGAGTTACCCATGGTTTACAAGATAGCTGCTACCCTTCCCTGTGTTATGTCTACATTCTAAGCAGAAAAAAAAGTAAAAGTGAAAAATAAAAAATAAAATAAACCCACTACCATCGAGTCGATTCTGCCTCGTAGTGACCCCCATTGGGTTAATGAGATGATAAATCTTTACAGGAATAGATTGCCCCAGTCTGCAGAGTGGCTGGTGGGTTTGAACCACCAACCTTCTGGTTAGCAGTTAGATGCATTAGGCACCAGAGCTCCAGTGCCACCAGAGCTCCTAGGGTGAAAGAGGCCACAAAGAGCTTTCTCCTGGCAAGATACCTTATTCAGGAAAAAAAAAAAAAAAATCCCACTTAGGGCTTTATGCTCTCAACTCGCTGGCCAGAAGTACTGTAGTACTTTTAAAAACATACAGAAAGTAGAGTATTTTAGCTTTCCAATCTCTGCAGTAAAAAAAAAAAAAAAAAGCAAAATTAAAGAGGTTTGTGGGTGTCAAGTAATTCACTATTTTATATTCAGATATAACCTATCTTCTAAACTGTATTTCTAACAGCTTACTGCACTCTACTTACTATGCTTAACCTTGTTATGCTCAAAAATAAAATCCACAGTGCCTTGTTAAAAACACATTTCCAAGTCCGCTTACTAGTTTAATAAGTAGTAGGTGACCATTTTAGTTCTAAATGTACTAAGAGTATATAGGGTCATGGTTCTCATTATCTGACCTACAGAAAGGTTACTCAGTAGGTCACATAATTCCATAAGAAAAGTGTTTCTCATCCCTAACTTCTCCCACTTGTGTAGGTGAAGGAGTAGTTGCCACCTAGTTCAGAATAAGAACTGTTGCTATTGTGTTGGTATGTGCCATCAAGTTGGACCTGACTCATAGCGACCCCTCTTTGGGTTGTCGAGGCAGTATCACTACGGAAGTAGATTGCCCAACCTTCCTTCCGGGGAGTGGCTGGTGGGTTTGAACTGCCAGCCTTCTGTTAGTGCCTTAGGCACTACGCTACCAGAGAATGGAGTTAATAAGGAGCCCTGGTGGTGCAATTGTTAACTACTTGGCTGCTAACTGAAAAGTCGGTACTTCAATCTCACCAACTGCTCTACAGGGGAAAAGATCTGGCGATCTGCTCTCCTAAGGACATGCAAGTCACCATAGTACAACAAACAAACAGATGAGTGGTGCTCATAAAGATTACAGCCTAGACAACTCTATATTGTTCTTGTTAGATGCTGACGAGTCAGCTCCGACTCACAGTGACTCTACGTACAACAGAATGAAACACTGCCTGGTCCTGTACAAGCCTCACAATCCTTACTAAACGTGAGCCCATCGTTGCAGCCGCTGTGCCAATCCATCTCTTTGAGGATTTTTCCCCTTTTTCCCTGACCCTCCACTTTACCAAGCATGAGATCCTTCTCCAGGGTATGGTCCCTTCTGACAACATGACCAAAGTAGGTGAGATGAAGTCTGGCCATTCTAGGTTCCAAGGAGCATTCTGGCTGCACTACTTTTCTTCTGTCCTATGGAATCAACCCTATGGCACACAAAGACAACAACAACATGGAGTTAATACTTCAGAGCAGCCAAGGAAAAATCTGCATCTACACAGGCAGTATAACCAAAATTTGAAAGTAACTTAAAAAAAAGAAATCTAGTTTTTTTTTAATGTTCTAAAACATAAAAGTTGCCATTTTAACCATTTAAAAGTTTATGATTGAATGACCTTAATTATATTCCCAGTGTTGTACACTCTTATTTCCAAAACTTTTTCATCACTCAAATGGAAACTCTATTCCCATTAAGCAATAATTCCCATTCCTCTCTCCACCAGCCCTTGAAAACCTCTAGTCTACTTTTGTCTCAATGAATTTGCCTATTTTAAATACCTCATATAATTGGAATCATTCAGTATTTGTTCTTTTGTGTCTGGCTTATCCCCAGTGTTTTCAAGTTTCATCCATGTTGTAGCATGTATTGGCCATTCATTCTTTTTTATGGCTATTCTGGTTACCTGGTGCCCCTCTGACAAGAATATACCACAAATGGGATGGCCTTAATAATAGGAGTTTATTCTCTTAGTTTGGAGGCTCTAAGTCCAAGTTCAAAGTGCCAGGCTTTAGGGGCTGGCTAAAAGCCCCTCAACCTTGGGGGTCCAGCTGTGCCTCCTGTTCCCAGCCCACTGGAGCTAGAGGCATTTCTTCACTCAG